CCCCCAACCCCCCCAGCCCGGCCCTGCAGCAGAGGGGCTCCAGCCCTCACAGCATTTTGGTCGCCCTCCTCTGGCCCCGCTCCAACAGGTCCATGGCCTCCTTGTGCTGAGGGCTCCCGAGCTGGACGCAGGGCTCCAGGGGAGGTCTCCCCAGAGCAGAGCAGAGGGGCAGAATGCCCTCCCTGGGTGCTGGCCACGCTGCTGGGGATGCAGCCCAGGGGAGGGTTGGGCCTTCTGGGCTGCCAGCGCCCATGGCTGGGTCACATCCAGCTTTTCACCCCCCAGTCCCCCCCCAGTCCCTGTGGGCAGGTCTGCTCCCCATCCCTTCATCCCTGGATGGATCCCGGGGGTTTCCCCACCCAGGGGCAGGACCTTGCGGTGGGAATGGTTGGTTTGTGTATGAGCAGAGAGAGAAAAAGAAAAAAAAATCAGGTTGTGGAGGAGGGGAAAAGGGAGTTTCCCTGCCCGGGAATCGAACCCGGGCCGCGGCGGTGAGAGCGCCGAATCCTAACCACTAGACCACCAGGGAAGATGTTTTAAAAAATTAATTAAAAATGTCAGTTTTGGGAAAAAAAAACCAGAACAAAAGCTGTGTCAGAAGTGGGATTTGAACCCACGCCTCCATTCGGAGACCAGAAAACCCCCCCGCAGGGAAAGCAGAGCCTTGAGTCTGGCGCCTTAGACCACTCGGCCATCCTGACACTGTTGAGAGCCTTCCTCCCCCTCCTCATCCTCATCAGTTAATCCTCCCCCATCGTGAAATTTGCAGCAAACGTTGGGGGTTTTTTTGCAGCCTCTACCTGGACTTCAGCAAAGCCTTGGGCGCCGTCACCCACAGCATCTCCTGGAGGAGCCAGCAGTTCGTGCCTTGGGTGGGCGCATTCTTCGTTGGGTAAAAAACCGGCTGGGTGGCCAAGCCCTGAGAGTTGTGGTCAGCGGAGGTCAACCCGGTTGGGGTCGGGCACAAGTGGCGTCCCCAGGGCTCAGTGCCGGGGCCAGGCTGGTTTAACGTCTTCATCAACAACCTGGGCAAGGGCATCGAGGGCACCCTCAGCCAGTTTGCAGATGACACCAAACTGGGCAGGAGTATGGATCTGCTGGGGGGGGAGGGGGGCTCTGCAGAGGGACCTGGCCAGGCTGGAGCCATGGGCCCAGCCCAATGGGGTGAGGGGCAACAAGGCCAA